GGCTGAGGCTGGAGGCAATGCACCGTGTCCTGGGGAGATGGGGAGCGGCCGCTGGGCTCCTCCCGTGAGAACTCCTCGCCCCCTCTTGTCCCTCCCCCAGCGCGCTCGCGGACCTCGCTGGAGCTGGTGCCTTACACAGCGAAGCGCGGGGAGGGGCAGGGCCCCCCCACACTGCAGCACTGAGACACGAGCCCCCTCCCCCTGCCCGGGACCAGGGGCAGGGACGAGGGGCCCATTTCTTGTATCTGGCTGGACTAGATCCTATTCTGTCCCGCGGCGGCCTCCAAAGCCCCACCCCGAGCCCATTCACCTCTCTGATCCCGTAGGGTCTGGCTTGGGGTCCTCTTTTCTCTGTCCCCCTCTTTTGTGTCTATCCTGCTCTCTGTCTTCTCTGTCTTATGTCTCTGCCCTTTTCTATTTGTCTCTTTTTTCTCTGTCCCGTCGTCTCTTCTCCTGCCCTTCCATGTTTTGTCCAGTCTCTTTGTCTCTCCGGGATTACCTCCCCCCACCACACATTCTCCCGGGCAGGTCCCACTGGAAGGACCAGACTCCCTATTCCTTCCTCTTTCCTCAAGTAAATCCCCACATGAATAAAGTCCAAAACAAAGTCCTCCTCCCCACCGGAGCCAGGACCCCCGCCGCAGCAGAATTAAACTTTTTTCTGTGTCCGAGGGCGCTCTACTGACCTCTGTGTGTGCCCCTGTGTCGTGTGTGTGTGTGTGTGTGTGTGTGTCCTAGATTACAGCATAAGGGTTAAGTGAGACTGAAGGAAAGATGGCTAACTGGGACCAGGGAGACTTGCAGACAATTTCCTATCCTCTGAGAGATTTAAAGGTGGGAAATAATAATAAAATGATAATAGCTAACATTTAGTGAGTGCTGACTGTGTGCCAAGCACTTAAGTAATTTAATCCTCACAACAACCCTAGAACATATTACAGGTATCCCATTTTGCAGATGAGGAAATTGATGCCCAGAAACATCTCAAAATCACATAACCAGAAGGTGGCAAAATTGGGATTTGAAAAGGCAGGCAGCCTGACTTCTGAATCTGTCCTCTTAACCACAGAATTCTGCTGAGCAGTTAGTGAATGCTGGTTCCACATACAGGCATTGTCCTAAGCACAGCTCTTCTTTCTGAGGTTGGGCAACTGTCCGAGGTAGGTATCTTTGGTTCCATTTTATAGACAGGAATCTGAACCAGGGAGAATTGAAGTCACTTGCCCAAAGATCCCCAGTGAGAAAATAATGGAACTGGCAGTTTGATCTCAGTGTCTTATCTGTTCTTACCACTACACTATGTTGCATCTAGAGGCTGGGGAATAACCCCAATGACCTTAGTTGAGCACAGGTATACCAAGCCAGCCTCGAGGGAGGAA